TGCAGGCTTGATCCCAAGTGGGGGACATGCATGAGGCAGCCAATCAATTATTCTCTCTCATCATTGATGTTTCTATCACTCCCTCCCTCTCTGAAATCAATACAAAATATTATATTTTAAAAACACATCAATTTATTGTTATTTCTCAAGGTTTTATGGGTTGACTTGGCTCAGCTGCAAGGTCCTCACTCAGAATCTCTCATTTCAGACAGTCATAGAGGGGCAGGTGTAAAAGTTATGTCAAGACTTGACCAGGCTGCGCATCCAAGATGGCACCTTGGTGCTTCTTCATGTGACATCTCTCTTCAGCAGAATAGGCTGGACTTCCTACATGATGGCTTAAGACCTAACATACTCGGTGGGTTAAAAACTCATTAACTGGATTTGTTGGGCTAAGAATAAAAGTGTTCATGCAAATTATATTTGTTATACTCTGTCCTTTCTCAGGAGGCCTCTTCCTTTCTGAGGCCCTTTGTCTATTCAGGCCTCAATGGGTTAAATGATGATTACCCATAATATTGAGGGCAATCAACTTTACTGTGGTCCACAAATGCTAATCTTATCCAGAAATGCTCTCACAGGCACATCCTGAAATAATGTTTAATTTGGGCACCCCTCGGCCCAGTCAAGTTGACTCAGAATTTATTATCACAATACTAGATTTGATGATAACCCATTCTACACAGAATAAGTAATGGTTTATGTTGTGCAGTCTTTACATAACTATCCCACAGCTAGAATCAAGATCAAGCTTTCTCTCAGCTGACTAAATGTTGAGACTTACCTGATAATATCTTTCCATAAAAGTTCAAAAGATAATTAGTATAGTGAAGAAGATATCCTCAAATATTACTTATCAAAGATAATGCTTTGATGCATTTAGGCCCAGGAACTATAGGGAGCATTTTATCAAGTATTTGCAAAAAGGAGATAACTCACCGATTACTGTATTAAACACCAGATATTTTACTAATTTTTAAAGAGTTTAAAACAAAGGACCAAGTTTCAAGTTGGAAGAAAAGAAGAGAAAGATAATGAGTTCACTGATCCTTTGTTTATATCCTAAGTGATTAAACAGCTAAAATTTTAATCAGTTCTTCATAGTAATGACTTAAGTCAATCATCTAAATAAGGATTCAGCAAACTATAGTCTGTGGGCCAAATCTGACTCATCATTTGTTTTTGCAAATAAAGTTTTATTGGAACACAGCCAAGCCCATTTGTTTGCATACTATCTATGGCTGCTTTTGTTACAATGACAGATTTGAGTAGTTGTGACAGAAACCGTATGGCCTACAAAACCAAAAATATTTACTATCTTATCCTTTACAGAAAAAGTTTGCTGACTTTTGCTCTGCAGAGAAAGTTTGATTACCTCTGACTAAAATAGTGAAGTTTGAATTTGTATTGCAAAAAGAGATAAGACAAATTGTGTACACATTGATGGAGGTCTTACTTTGTTGGACGCTGGGTGTTGTGAAATGCAAGGGGGAAATAGCCTGAGAAAGAACAGAATATAATAGAATGTAATTTGCATGGGAACTTTCAGTCTTAGACCAACAAATCAAGTTAATGAGTTTTTAACCCACTAAGTATTTTCAAAATCTAAGGGCAGAAAATATTTACAAATATTTGCATTTGCTGAAACAAAACATCCAAGTGATTGCTTCATTGTTTCCTTTTAATTAATATTGATTCTTTTTCTAAGTGAGACTAATATTTCTTGATATTGGATTATCCTTTTCAAAAGAGTATTTATTTTTCTACTTTTCTCTCACTTTAATTATTTCTCATCATTCAGAATGATTCACTTTGCCTAGAGATGGATTGTGTTTTATTTTGTTTTGTTTTATAAGTGAAATCCAAATGGAAAGAAAGTCAACTTTTGGTTTTTTGGTTCTGAAATAGGCCCTTGGAGCTCTCAATAGATGCAATCATTTTGAAAGACAAAGCTTTAGCTTTTCAAGGCGAAAATTTTGTAGAGAATGAAACCTATGGTCTCTAAGTAAAGAGAAGAAAGGGTGGTAGGACAATCACAGGGTTAGCCATGAAAGAAGCAGGGTATAGAATTTATGTCACCTAATAAATTGAAAGGGTGGAAGGGGAGTTATTCATTGTTTCTCATAGATTAAATATGCACACACCCCAGGTTACTATCTGGGGAGGATATTGATTGAGGCATCATGTTGAAGGAAATAAGAGGGACTTGAAATGAGGGAACAGGGCCTAGGATGACCACAGGGAGAGGGACAGAGTCATCTCTGAGAAGCAGCTGCCCTGTGGCCATGCTGACACCCACAGACATCCACCCCACCATGAGGCCTGTGCTGAGAAGCCTCTCAGCACACTGTTGCCTGGCAAGGGCCTGCATGCCTGCCATGGCTCAACTCAGAGAAGTAATCCTCTTTATGCCTTAAGACCTTTTTTTTTTTCTTATGCCAACTCCCCTGTGTGGCCAGCCTCCTTTAGAATGGCCCAGGACCCTCATAAGCCTCCCAAATTTTGGAATCTGGAAGAGGCATGTAGGGGAGGAGCTCTGCTGCACTTCCTGACAACCTGACCTGTTTCCAGATAGACACATGGGCAAGGACTGAGTGTGCTCCTTCCCAAGTCTTGGCAAAGTGCTTTGTGATTCCATCTGGAGCAAGAAAGGATAAGCAGCCTGGTGAAGAGATGCTATGAGCATAGCTTACTTCATTCTTAATCTTTCCTCCATTAAAAAGAGCCATTTGATTCACTATCAGGAGAAGGATTATCTTGGAAGAATAAAAGTGTTCTTTTTTCGCCCTAACCGGTTTGGCTCAGTGGATAGAGCGTCAGCCTGTGGACTGAAGGGTCCCAGGTTCGATTCCGGTCAAGGGAATGTACCTTGGTTGTGGGCACATCCCCAGTAGGGGGTGTGTAGGAGGCAGCTGATCGATGTTTCTCTCTCATCGATGTTTCTAACTCTCTATCCCTCTCCCTTCCTCTCTGTGAAAAATCAATAAAATATTTTAAAAAAAGTGTTCTTTTTTCTTTTCAAATATTTTGAATTCTCATCAAATTTCTTCCAAATAGGTCATCAATGGGGGAATACAGAAAATAGAGCTTTAGTAGGGAAAGTCAAAGAGAACTTGAAGCAAGAGACCAGCAAGCCTAGCTAGCTAGGATGACAGAAGGAGGCTAAGACTCTAATATGTGATCCTAAGTAGGATAAATATTTCAAGAGGGGGGCTTCCATACAGAAGATTTTGCAGGTATGATTGAAAGAACTACTGAAAGAGGCATTGGTGTGGCCAGGAATTGTGTTAAATCATAGCTCTCACCAGTCCACCCCTTTGTCTTCATCTAAGAACTTTATGTTGCTTTCATCTAGGGGCCCTTGGGTAGTTGGTTGTCTACAGACGCCAACATCTGACTGCCTACTCATGCTGGCGTCTGGGGGGAGGCCAGGAATCTTCCCTCTGCTGGCTGGCATTGCCTACTCTAAAAAATACTTTGCCACAGTTCTCTTAACAAACCCCACTAGTCTAAAGGAGACGCCTAGATGCTTGGAGCAATGTTGGAGAATAGTTATCATTCTGCACTCAGGGATGGAAGTGAGCTAGCTCAAATCCCTGAGGGAGGATAATGGTTACCCACATTACCTGAGTCAAAAGCAAAGGAAGAAACCATGAGGGAAAGATGAACCAATTTTGCTATATAAAAACGAATAACTTTGGGGTATTAATAAATAAATAAACTTCACAGATAACTTCGTTGTGCCTGATAGAGTTTTGCAAGAATTGAATAAATTAGCAATAAAGGAAATTATTGTAATAATTGGGAAAGTTTGAATATAGATTGTATATTAGAAAATATTACATCTTGCAAAAGAGAACAGTATTGTGATTATGTATATGAATCCCTTATTCTTACACCAAATTTTAAAGTATTTAGGGTGAAGAGTCATAATGTTATGATATCTAAAATCATTCTAGTCATTTGGAAAAGAAGTATATACACATATGTATATGAAGACAGACATGCAGAAATAGACAGAAAGAGATAACATAAATATTGCAAAGTGTTAACCCTTGGTAGATCTAGGTGAAAGGTGTAATGAAAGTGCTCATGTACTAGTCTTCCAACTTTTCTGAAAGCTTTGTATTTTTCAAAATAAAAAGTGAGAAGACAATGAATTGATGCATGTAATACCTTACAACTGTTAGTTATCAGATGGAAATCACTTTGAGGACAGGATTCTTTGTTTTCATATGCTCAATGTCTAAACATTGTCCTGCCCCATAGTCAATGCTCAAAGCAACTTATACATGACTAAATAATAAGATGAATAAATTTTTGTCTTCTTGCTTCTTACCACTACTTACTTTCCTTTACTACTCCCACTAGAAATTTGTTTTTAGGGTTAGATTAAAGCATAAATTGCAGTTAAGGGTTTGCATATCAGCTCTGTGTGTGTATGTGTGGGGTGTGTGTGTAAGTGTTTTATATCCTACCCTACTCCCTACCACACCTTAAAGCAAATTAAATAGGAGTAGGGTTGCCAGATATAACACAGAACATTCTATTAAGTTTGGATTTCAAGCAACAGTGAATCATTTAGTATAAGTATGGTCCAAATAATTCACAAAGGCCAAATATTCCATGGAACATACTTATACTAAAAATTATTCATTGCTTACCTGTAATTCAATTTTTAAAAGGCATCATATTTTTTATTTGTTAAATATGGTAACCCTAATAAAAGCCATTTATTCCCCCTGGTGTATATGGCTGAACCTGCCCACAAGCATGTAAAAATCTTAGATAAGTTGATTTATCTATAAGAAAATGTTTATAGTTTTTCTGAATTTTCAATTATAGTGGAAATAAGCTTTTATCCTTTTAGCTGAATTGTCCCCCTACTTGCCTCACATTGTTTTCATTCCTAATCTCTCACTTTTCTTCATATAACACATTTGAAGGATTGCATTTTTATTTGTGATAAAACCCATAATAGAATATACATACAGGTCACATAAAAATACATGAGGATGATAATTAAACTATACAGTGTTGGATAGGTAGTATGATTAAAGAATTACACATTTATTGTATACAGTGTCACTAATGTCAATGAGTTTCTTCTTAGAAGCACTTCTTGCACAAAAAGTATGTTTTAGCAGTAATAGAGCGAACACGTTAAAAATACTACTTATAGAACAACTACAACTTCAAAACATTCAATTGAACTCGATTTCATGGATTTGTTTACCACTTGACAAATGACCCTGATTTTCAACGACCTCTCAATAACATACCAGGGGGAAGCAGCATGAAGCCCATCACTTGCAGAAGCAATTACAGAAAATCACTTTGGAACAGTAGCACCGTTCCACATTATTATATGCACATGTGTTACATTGCACCTTCCTGAGTTGAACATTGAAAACTGTAGCCATATGAAACACCAAAATGGATGAATTCATCCCAGCCTGGGCCTTCACTGGTGGTAGTAGTAATTTTGACCATCATAGCTATCATAGCCACGCCCTTTATAGTAGCTGTACTCATCCTCATAGGCTCGGTAATTGTCCCCTCGAGGTTCCGCATTCTCATTTTCATAGACTTCATATCCATTGTCATATTCATTGGTGCCTGTTTGTTCATACTCCCCCTCATATTCAGTGGTAGTGGTTCCCCCCTGTGGTGGCGGAGTGGTCCCATAGACCTCCTGTGGTGGAGTGGTGGGTTCAAACCCGCCATTGTCCTGCTCCCCAGCCACTGTGGTTCCTTCTGCATTTTCTTCTTCCCCTTCTTCTTCTTCTTCTCCATTGTCTCCGCCGCTGCTGCCATTGCCATTTTCTACGTCTGTGCTGTTGGTGCTAGTGCCATTTATGCCTTGCCCATTTTCATCCACTTCTGCTTCATTTTCTTCATTTTCATTTTCTTCCTCTTCCTCTTCTTCTTCTTCACTTTCCTCCTTTTTTGTAGCCTTCTTTCCTACATCTCCAGCCTGGAAGGGAAAATTTGAAAGAATCCAAATCTAGACATGAAACATTGTAAAGAAGGCCATCACTTCATTCAACACAGATTGTACTGATAGCCTTGTTCTAGATGTAATTCTGAATTGAAGCCAATTTAACTTACAAAAGGATTGGTAGGGACTTAAAACATTTAGAATTAGGCCCTTTGTCTCTGGGTTTTGAAGGAGAAAAATGTACTTGATAAATGAGCTGTCTCTGTAGGAGATGCTTTCTATAGCTTTGCTACTCGCTTTCTGTCTTGAATCCTGTTCCCTGAAATGTAATGGCATCTCTCAAGACCTTTAATCCATTGCTAAGATGCTTGTCCTTAATCTTCTGTTATAATGTACAAGTCACTGTAATATCATGGGAAGAGAACTTGCATGGAAAAAGATCTTTCCTTATTTGTAAACCAGAAAATTGTATCTGCTCTTGCTTTCTCAGTGAGTTAAAAAGACAATATAGAATTCTCTGTACATAGTGTCAGGATAACCTTAGGCTTCAGTGGAGGAATGAGGTCATATTTAACATTGGGGTAAATTATTACCTTCTTGGGAAGTTGGATGGCAGCTAGGCCTACATTTCCCGTTCCAGGCGTGGTCTCCTCTCCATAGCCAGGTGTCGTAGCAGAAAGGGTGGAGTTCTCAGCCTCAGATTCTTCATCTTCATTAGACTCTTCATTGTTTGCTTCTTCATTTGAATTCTCCTGGTAGAAATGTCCAGAGCAAAAAAAGTTATTTTAGCCAGAAGATAACTCGAGATTTGTTGGAGTCATGGACCACTGTTGGGAAAAAAAGCTTTGTATCGCTCAGCTAGCTCATCACCCATGTTGATAATTCTGCTTCCTCTTATGCCATTTGCACTTCTAACTTTTTATAACTCAACTCAAAGTTACCACATACTATGTATCTCACTATGGTGTGTTTTAGATATTTTTACATTCTATTTAATTAATTCATAAATATTTGTATAAAAATTTCAGCATAACTTTCTATATGGTATCACAACATACAGGATTTAGGTTCTTAAAGTCTCACAATTAAAGTCTTTTTCATTAACTGAAGTAATATAATTTCAGTTGATTCAATTTAAGTTGATTAAAAATGTTTGATTTAAATAATTAAAATTTAAAAAATCTTATTAGCAACTACTACAACATGGTGGTAAATTAATTCTTATACTTGCTGACAAATTAGCTGAGAACTTTATACCTGTTTTTCTTTTGTTCTTTATAGCAGCACTGTAAGGTAGGATTATTACTCTTTTTAGAAAAATAAATTGAGCTCAGAAAAGCTAAAAACTTGCTTAAGTTCTCACAGTAAGTGATGAAACTATATCTTTTAACTCAAAAGCTGAGCCTTTGAAGTTTTTGATGATGGTTAGAATTTATCTGAGTTGTCCACATGACACCTAGCATATATTTTTCAAAAGAGAATTTTTTATATAAACCAACTCATTTCAAACAAATTGATAGCATGTCTTATTTATTACCGAAAGAAGTGAATGCATGTCATTAGTTTTCAAGCTTATTAAAAGAAAAAGGATATATTTAATTCAAAATCTATCTGCCAATATGTAAGCCAGTTCTGTGCCATATGCAGGATTCAAAAGATGTCAGGAATTTGACATGCAATCAGTTTTTCTGTGCAATGAGGAAACTAGACACTCCAAGAAAACCTTAGTAATATATTATGCTCTGCATGAATATGTTTTTTAAAAATTACCTCTCCTCAAATAAATGCTTATTATAATCCCTTAACATTTTAGTCTTTTTCCTTTACTCCATGTTGTTATGCAACTGTTTGTTACTTGAGTTAATTTCACAAAGTATTTCATAGCTAATATTAAAAATCAGGAATTCATTTCTATAGAATTTATTTACTTTTAGTCCTGGAAAATTGGATTTATTTTAATGTATTTTTAAAGATACTGTGATATTAGGATTACTTTAACTAAAAATATAGGGATACTATATTTTAAGACTTGAAAAACACACAAACAAATCTCAGATTTAGTCTGCCTTATTATTAAAAAAAGAATATGTTTGTTCAGCAGGTGTGGCTCAGTGATTGAGCATTGACCCAGGAACCAAGAGATCTTAGTTCAATTCCCGGTCAGGGCACATGCTCAGGTTGTGGGCTCAATCCCCAGTAGGGGGCATGTGGGAGGCAACCCATCAATGATTCTCTCATCATTGATTTTTTTATCTCTCTCTCTCTCTCTGTCTCCCTTCCTCTCTCTAAAATCAATAAAAACATATTTAAATATAAAAATAAATATGTTTGCTTCAGAAAATTTATAAATTCCACTGTCTCAGTGAACTCTTGGGAATACTAGAGTCAACCCCAAAACAGTCTCCAAGCTAATTGTGTTAAACAGCCCACAAACACCATACTGTTTATTTATTTTTTCATGTTTACATTTTAGTCCAACAAATGAAATCTTTCAGGTGTGGAGGAGGGATGATCCTTAGAGTATGAAGATATACAAGTTGGGTCCTATACCCTCATTTCACAGGTGAAAAATCTGAGGTCCAATGGAATAAATGACTCATATGAGGTCAATAGACAGCAGTTAATTAGTGGCAGGGTCATGAATATAGGCCCAAACTCTAAATTTATAGACATTTACATTTTCTCCTACAACACCCTTTCTTTTCCTAGATATTTTATTTGAGGATGTCCTGCTGCAATAAGTTAAAAAGGAAAATAGGACAGTCTGTTTATTAGCAGTAACTTGTACTTTAAAAAGTATTATTAACCCACTAGAATGCTAAAATGACTGAAAGAAAAAGTGTTGGTGAGAACCCTCCCACTGACAGTGGGAGTTCACGTTGGTACACCTGCCTTGGAAAGCTGTTTAGTTGAATCTACTCAGGTTAAACATGCATAGCCTTTTGATTTAGGAATTTCACTTCCAGGGAAATTGGCCACCAGAAATGAATGCATATGTTCACCAGAGGGAATACTAGAATGTTCATAGAAACTACCCAAATGCCCATAAACAGAAGAATAATACATTGTGGTACATTAACATAATGAAATACTAACAATGAGAATGAATAATTTACAACTATAGAACAATATGAGTCAGTCTCTGAAATTGAAAGTAGAACAGGCCACACATGAAAGAGTATATGCTGTGTGATTCCATATATGCATACAATACACAGAAAGGTAAAAAAATCTGTTAGGAGTCAAAATAGCAGTTGTCTTGGTGGAGGTTGGTTAATGAATGGAATGGAGCCCAAAGCATGTGCTGCTTTTTGATATGAGTGCCAGTTACACTTGTGTGTTCAGTTTCTGAAATTTCAGCAATCTGCATACTCATGATCATTGTGTTAAGTGTGTTGTATTTTAACAGAGGTTTTGTAGGTATTGAGACTGGATAGTTTAGAAGTGGAAAAAATATATATTTACCAAATGGAAAATATGCCTACACACCTTCTCATGTGAATACAATTTTTGGAGACTGTGTTTAGTCTGAATTGCCAATGAACTTGTAGGGAAGAAATGGGGACAAAGTGCTTGTAGGATCTCTTTAGAATGGAAGACTCCAAGTTTTTTTCATCCACTTTCCAATGATCACTTTTAGTAAATGATCTTCGGAGCATTTATTCCTCTGAGGTTCAAAACCAAACCACCAAAAATTACTGGGCACCATATATGTATAAGAAACGGTGCTACTCAGGACAAGGAGATACAGAAAAGAGTACTGCACTATTTCTCCCTAAAGAGGAATGAAACCTATGGTCTCTAAGTTCCCTGGGTCATGGGGAGTTTAAAGATAATTTCTTGGAGGATCATATATGTTCAGTGGTTATTGGCAAAATTTTGAATGTGTGTGATTGCATCTGAGTCGTAAAGGCGTCCTATTCTTCCTCCGTCCCCAACCACCATTACAACAAGTGAAGAGCCTTGGAAAATCTAGCTGGCAAAGCAATTTTACAATCACTGTACAGTGAACAGCTGTAGTTAAGTGGATTATCCTAGCTTAGTTCTTATGTACAATTACTATGTTCGATACAGGCAGAAATTTGTGGGATTTAGTAGGTGGCATTTTTCCTGGTACTGGCTTGATATTCTTGTTAAGGCCTTCCTTTAAGCTAGTAGGGTAAATTATTGTACTGGAAATGTTAATTTTACAGTTTAAAAAATTGAACTAATTATTTGTCATTTTTAAAGTCCCTGCACTGTTTTGTTTTCAAGATTAACAGACATTTATTCATGATCCATTTTTTACTGTCATTGTCCATTCATAAATAGCACCTATGAATACCTAAACTTAGAAGGTTCCCAAACCAGTGGATTGCTATAATTGATAACCCAGAAAAATGTACCTAATTAGTACATATCCTTGGGTAAGAGTGTCAATTATAAACATGTTAGCACAATTTCCAAGATATATAGATGAATTTTAGCTATGACTACACTGATTTTTAGTACGATATTGGAAGACATTTTTACATCTTGAGTATTTGCATTTCTGTAAAAACATGAATTTTTTCATTAATCAAAAAAGACATGAAATTCCTATTAAAAACAACAATGCTACTTTGGTGGGTCAAGAAAGGCTGATGAATCACAATAACACTGTAGTATAGAGGATATAAAATTAGTTTTCAAATACTACTCACTTAGTAAATTAAGTTTAGTCATTAAAATAAGCATTTCACTGAGTTTAGAACTATTATACACTTGTATTTTACCATCATGTTCTATCCACTTAAATATAAATAACACTTTCTTTCCTTTTTATCAGAATTCAGACTTCTTCCATTTAAAATGGGGGCACTTTTGGTTTTGGGTACAGGTCACTTTAACCCCAAACTGCAATAGTTTTAAACAGGTCATTTTAGTTTATTCTAATTTAAGTAACATTTTACTTGTCCAAAATAGAAGACTGTGGGCAGTTGGTAAGCTGGCAATGCTGTTTGCTGAGTCCCTACTACAGTAAACTAGTTTCCTATTTGTTTTTGTGCTGCCTGGTTTGTTAGAAAAAAACTGCAGAAATTTCTTACCTCTTCCCCTTCCTCCTCTTCTGAGCTATCACCATCTCCATTTTCTTCAGACGAGTCACTGTTCTAAAAAAATGTACACATGAATTCATACACATGTGATTATATATGTAGATTTACATTTATTTGTTTAGAACAGTTCTCGTGCAAATGTGAAAAAGATAGGAGGAGATTGGGCACAAATAAAATGAGGTTAGAGAGGAAAAGGTATTTTACAATGATCAAGATATGTATGAAATATTCCATTTTTACCCTCAAAGCACAGACAATCTGTTAAAAACACTTTGTACGTAAAAACTAGAGCAATGAATCACAAAATTTCTTAGCTCTAAGAGACCAAGAGGATTATCTGGTCCAATTTCTTTTTTTTTTACAAAGAAGGAATCTGAAGCCCAGAATGGTCGTGACATCAACCAGTTCAAGTCGAATCTTGGGCTAGGTGTGGATCACATTATTTTCTTTCCTTTATACATAAAATAAATTATGAATAAAATGATGATTAGGTTTATTATACTAGTAAAATGATTCTCTTAAGTAATTTGTTTTCCTGGTGAGTTTAAATAAAAATTGACTTGAAATTAAATTTGCATATAATTTTTATTATCTTTCTATCTAAAACTAATACATAAAATTGTAATATGTACTAGTATACAGGGATGGGCAAAAGTAGGTTTATAGTTGTAATATAAAAAATAACATAATGATAATATAAGAATAATCTCTTTTGCATACTCACAGCTGTAAACCTACTTTGGCCACCCTGTATATTGAAAGTTATGTAAGAGAAAAATTAATTCATTTACGAGATTTTAGAGAACCATCCCTCTATAGAGCTCAATATTGAATGAGAATAAATTTAACCAAGGAATCTGGTATACAAATATAATTATAAATTAATGAGCTTTGCTACTTTTTACAGGAAAATGCAAATCTAAACTTTTGCTTTCAGAGCCTTTAAGACAGTTGAGGAAATTCTTCATCTTTCTCCCAGTTTTAATCTAATTGAAGTTTCCTTCTTTCTGTGCCACAACTTTTAATGGCAGCAGGTATACAAATGGATACACAACTTATGATTCTGTCATTTTCTACTTTGCAAATGTTAATTTTGATTCTGACTCAGTTAAATTCCATGGGCCTTAGACAATATAGCTGCAGAAGAACCTCCAGGTTAGAAATCCGATTTTAGGAAACAGTCCGGATCCAATCCTACTCAGGGCCATCCTGCTGGGCTTATTCCTCAGGTGGCCACATCTTCCACCCAAGGAAAGGGAATGCTTGTCCCCTTTAGCCAAGAATAACCTTGGGTGGAAAAGAGAATAATTAGACCTGCTCTTCCACTGCCATGACCTTAATGGTTGTTCTTTTCCCAGCCCAGAGAGTAAATAAAGAAAGATATTATATTTGAACTACTTTTATTTGTTAGTTAAATTATATAGAGAGGACAGCATATTTTGCTTCAGTGGGAGTGTCTCATCATTTTCCAAACTTTCTCATGTCTAGCTTTCTTCCTACCCCAACCATATCCTCTTCAATTAATATCTACAGCGAGAACAATTGTAAAACTGAATGTAATGCCTTGAAGCCTGGGCTTTTCCTTCATTTCCTATCTTTCATTTATTCCTATTATAATTTGTCACTAAATCCTATGGGTTTTCCAAAAGTGTATATATATATATGTTAACCATTACTCCTTCTAACTTCTATCACTCCATCTATTCAATTCCCAAGTATACATTCCAGGCATTGTACTGAGAATGAGGGTCATAACAAGAGATGAGGTTGGAAATATGGACAGTTTCTCTGTATTGAGCACTGTGATAGCTGAGATGAGTTCAATATCCTATATAATAAAAGCCTAATATGCTGTGTCCAGTTGTCCAGTCATCCATTCAACCAATCAAAACATAATATGCTAATGAGATGCTAAGGCTGCTCAACCACTCACTATGACGTGCACTGACCACCAGGGGGCAGACAGTCTACCAGTTGACCAGTCACTATGACATGCACTGACCACCAAGGGGCAGATGCTCCGACTGGTAGGTTAGATTGCTGCTGGGGTCCGGCCAATCAGACTGAGTGAGACCGGCAGGACACGCCCTGGAGCCCTCTCGCAGTCCCTCCCCAGCTGGCCAACCCCCGCGCGTCCCTCCTCGGCCTCGATCATACTCCGGTGGGGTTCCTCGGCCTGGGCTGTGACCTCTTGCAATCCGGGACCCCTCAGGGGATGTCGGAGAGCCAATTTTGGCTTGATCTTGCTCAATGCAGGAGCTGCCCTCTGGTGGTCAGTGTGCTCCTACAGGGGGAGTGCTGCTCAGCCAGAAGCCGGGCTCATGGCTGGTGACTGCAGCAGCAGTGGCAGGAGCCTCTCCCACTTCTGCGGCAGAGCTAAGGATGTCCAACTGTGGGGAGCAGGCCTACGCTGTCAGTCGGACATCCCCTGAGGGCTCCTGGACTGTGAGAGGGTGCAGGCCGAGCTGAGGGACCCCCTGCCCCAAGTGCACAAATTTCGTTTACTGAGTCCCTAGTGAGAAATATAAGATAATGTTCCTGCCCTCAAAGAGTTCACATACTAATCAATTATCAATTGAATCATAAAAAAGCAATTTCTTCAATTAAAAATGCTTAAGATGTGACCTTATTTATACTTTAATGTCTATAGCACACCAATAGATAAGTTATGGTAGACTGTTAATAGCTTTGCAATCACTATAGCATATTTCATACAAGTTGGTATTTTAGAAATAATTACATATAAATAGATTTGTTTAAATAAAACACAAATTTCAAAGTCAATACAGCTGAATCCATTGTGGAGTGACAATCTGAGCAATAAGTAATAGACTTAAGAGAATAAATAATAAAGAGCAATGAAAAATATACAAGTAGACATGTAAGAGTGTTAAATGCGGAGATACATTTTATTGGATTCTTTTTTAAAAAACAACTATCTTACTTTCATATTCTTAATTAGTTGAGATGGACCAATTTGCAGATAATTTGTGGAAATTTTGTATATTAAAGATATACTTAGAGTCTGTCAATGGAAAATAAAACTTTTCCTAATATTATTTCAGTATAGATATTTTAATTGGGCCACATGTATAAATTTCTAGGTGTGAATATCTTTTTAAGTACCTGATATTTTAGAAAGTTGAGGAGCTACTCAGAAAGTTGAATTTATTTTCATTTCTGTTTTATTTAAGAAAGAAAACGAAGTAAACTTTCAAATGAACAATGTTTATTTATGGGCTTGAGGTGAACCAAAGAATGGAAGACAATTCTGAAAACCCACAGCTCTTGTATCACTTGTGTTCATATTTCTTTGGCCACACACATTCCCCATAATTATTATGGTGCTAGAAATACTTTAAAGTGATCATTTCCTATCATTGTATGAGTTAGAGATGGGTTGGCCCAACATATGGGAGAATGCTGTGCCAAGCCACTGTGCTGAGGCATTCTTTTCAGTATCTTGACTGCTTTTAGTGCCTCAGGAGTCCTGAGTCAAATGGTGCATAATTGGTACCCTCAACCCAAACTGTATGGGAATAAAAATAGTGCAATTCTGGTTTGTTGTGTATTTAAAATCAACACCACACCCTCCAGTTTTCAAAGGCCCTCTTCACAGGTAACCCAATAAAAATGGAAACTTTTATTTTTAGTTTGGCTATTTTTCTTTTTGTTTTCAAGAATGTTTTGTTTTTCTCATAAGCATGTTGGTTTACTTCATGAATTTCTCTCTTTCCTCTGCAGTTCCTGAGTCATTATAATAATTATGCTCCAATGTGACGTACACAGGTCAAAGGTTCAAAAAATCCTCAGCAATCAACATTGATTATCAAAAATTTCTTTTTAAATTGTCTCTACTGTTTATAAAGTCAATTTTTTCTGCCAATTAAAGATTTCTAGAATTATTGGATTTAAAATAACTGTATGACGGTATTGAATCAACTATAACATGGTGATTAGTGGCCTTGTCATTGACTTAATTATCAACAACTGATGAAATCGTCCACTTTTGTCAGTGAGTTAGCCAAAATACCTGAATTCAATATGTCAAGGTATTTGCTTTTATTATATTCTAGACTGGACCCAAATGATTTTGCTCTGTTTGGTATATCTTTGCTTTAAAAGAGAACTAAGGATAAATTTTATTTTATTATGTTAAAAACAAACTTTTTGTATTAAGTGATCTTTCTGTCTGAGTTTCAGTGAGAGTTTAATTCAGTGTTTCATAGTTAAATTTGACACAAGACACTGGGGGGTAGGGGAGGCCAGGGAAAGGTCAAGAGGGAAAATAAAAAGGAGATATATGTACTACTCTTTGTAATATTTTAAGCAATAAAAGAAAATTTTAAAAAAATTGATTCTCTTTCAATTGAAATGGGTAAAAAGAAAAATTAGTTTTTATACTTACCTGAACTGGAAATCGTTTTAGAGGAGGATAAAAGTAGGCGTGCTTATAAAGATAATACCGTGGTCTGTACTTAAAAACCTGCATAAACAAAATAAATATATATTCATGTTTAATGTGCAAATACATCCAGAGTAAGTGTCAGGCCAAGGAAGTATGCTAAAATTAATTACCCCGTTTTCTTCAGAATCCTCTAATTTGGCTCTTCGGTGAAAATTTTTCATCTGTTTAAAAAATATTTAATTATTACATATCCTCTCTTTGACATAAAAAAGATAAAAATGGAAATAAATATAGGTTTTTAGTAAAGAACTTACTGAGAAAGCACAGGCCATTCCCAAAATGCTGAGCAAAATTAAAGCAGTCTTCATTTTGGTGATTGCTTCTGGAATTAATGAAGTGGTAAAGTTAATAAATATTAAAAATAAAAGTGCAATTTTTTTTGCTCATACTAGATGATGAAATATTTAATTTGTTTTTATTTCTCCCCAATTATAGTTTTGAGTAATTATAACCAAATTTCTGCTTTTGTTTAAAATTTGTTCCTTTTATTTGAGGGATAGAAGACTGACTGTACCCACCTGTTTAAATAATCTTGAGTTCCATATTTGGTCTTAACCTATCTGCTATGATGTGTCCCTAGAAGACCATTTCATCACTTCAAAGGGTATGAATGCTTAGCATACGTCACACTGGGGCTGGGAGGCCTCCTAATATCACTGACAGGATTATTAGCTAAGTGAATTGAATTGTTAGTGTGGTTATGGGATCTGTTTCTTTTCTTTATAATTAAAAACAAAGCAAAAATTGAATACGTTGAAATGATTGTTTTCATGCCAATGATTCTACAGGCGATTCCAACTTCTATGTAGCTTTTGAACTAAAATGTCATTTGTAAAATTGAGACGAGGCACCATTTTCCTATGAATATTTTAGAATACTCGGTATCTTTGTGTGTGTGTGGAGTGATCCATAATATGTGAAATACTATTCTCATAGCATGTTGCACCAACAGCCATGTCTCAGGATGTTGCTGTGGGAAGAGTTCATCAGAGTGTCACCTTAAAATACCAGGGGCAAATTTCCTTAAATTAGGTTTTTCTCCAGCTCCATTTAAGCTTTCCGTCACTAGTAGGGGAGTCTGTCATGGGGTAGGTCAGGGGTTTTCTGGGGTCAGGGAAGAACTGAAGATGCCACTCTCAGAGTGGGAGTAGTTCCTGAACAGTCTTGGGGTTTGTAGCCATGCAAAGATTTCAGTTCCACATGGAATCCTCAGAAGTAAAGGGGAGAGAATTAGTGAAATCCTACCTTAATTGAATTGTATTTGATAAAATCCAGTTTAATAGAGGCTGTATAAACTAGCTGACAGCCTACTAACACCCACCCACTTGCACTGACATACACATTTAACCGTGAGTGCTTTCTCAGTCAGAGTGACAGCTTTGCTACCTTCTAGAAGCAATATGTAATGGTGATGGCAATTTCCCCATAAGCACACTTGGAAAAGTTACATTTAAAATGTGTAAAACCCATGTATATACTGTACCATGGAGGTTGCATTTTGACACCATTCACAAGATTTATTGCATCCGTTCTGGGTATCTCATGCTAAAAGTAAACATTACATCAGGGAAGGTTTGAGGCCTGAAGGAGCTTGTTGGGTCCTAAGCCACATTCTATTTGTGGCAGAGTGGGTCTTTGATTTTGATGCCGACACATTTCCTCACAGTCTTCCTACTTTAGAAAAAGTTCTTGGTGGTCGCACTGGATAAAGAGATCTTGCCCCTGAAGGGGGTTCATCTGTTTAAGATGCTTTCATTGTCCTTGGGGTGCTCTGAATAACACTTTGAACTTTGCCAGCTATAATCCAGCCTCCCTACCTCCACCCCCACCCCCCCAAAAAATAAAAACAGAAAGATTGTTGTTCTGTAGCTTTATGAAAAAGAGTTGGGATAGTAATAATATCTTAAAGAGATAAAAAGTTAAATACATAGGACTGTAGAAAGAGTTTTTATTACGTAAATTTCTTAGAACAAACCATAAAGATAACTAGATGAAAACATAGCAGGGGCAATATGAAAAGAACTGAGATATTCAGGTAGGCAACAATTGGCTGCCTACATAAATCTCATTTTATTTACTTTGTGATTCAGCAAAAGCAAAGACCTTTATATTGACCATAATAACCCAGACAACAATTTAAATATTCTTAAAGGATAGTTTTGTGACTCTGATTACAAGTTTTTGTTGGGAAAAGTACGATAAACCACCAATACCATCTATTTCTCTAGTACTAAATATTTTTCCATGCTGATTTCAGAGCTATAGGATAGTAACACTTTGAAACTGAATGTATAATGTATTGAAAAGATTTTATATAATGGAAATGCTAATTAGGCATAACTTATGGAGTGATCTGCATACAACGAGGCAGATTTGCAAATGCAAAATAGAATTCACTCAGGTTGTCTTGACTGTCTCAGAATGAGGAAATAAACAGTTATCCATGAGATGCAGAGATAGAAAGCAGGAAGCATACTTGTCTAGTTAATAAGCTCAGTCTTTTGGGGGCGGGGGGGAATCTAAAGTCTGAAGTACTAACTTAATGGTAAACAAGTATAAAATTACATAGTCATTCTATACAGTTCAATAATATCAACATTTAAATAAAAAAATTTAAAGCCAAGTCCAGAAATGTAAAACATGGAGTGTTTGATTTTTAAGATAACGAAGCTGTCATATTAAATCTTACCCGTTTGCAGTCCTGGAATGAAGAGGCAGGCTCACAGGAGTGAGTGACACAGATTGAGTATTTCCTCTGTCCTCTCACTCACTCATTCACTTGCCCTTGCTGGCTATAAACTCTCCTTTGCCTTCCAACAGCCAATCACTGTCACCGTCAAGGTGATGTCAGAATGTGGATTCTCACCAGAAAACCCCCAAACATCAACACTTTTTCAAGACACAGGCTCAGTTGAATAAACATGAAACATAGTTCTAGTGCCAAGAAGTTTGCATTGTGGAATTTAATTGAAGGGTTAGATGAAGATGAATAGTTTGCTTTCTGAATATATATAATATACTGGATTTGAATTAAAATAGCAAAACATTTAACCATTTAAAAATGTCATAATTATACAAGTGTTTACTATGTTGAAAGGAAAAATACTTAGTCATCAAATATGGTCCTACATTATTAGTTTAGTAAAAACAACTAAATAATAAAGCGCTGAATAACAATATTTCATATCAATTATCTTATATTTTCCTGAAATATGCTTCACTGCTTCAAGAGATAAAAATCAATATAATTAAATGTCAGGATTTATAAGATATATTTGCTAAAATATCACTGAGTATAAAAGTTTAAACTTTTAAGGATCCTGCTACTAATAGGAAGGTTTTAGTTTTTGTTTTGTAAAATAAACCTCTTAGATTAGTTATTTATATGGTCCTTTCTTACTGCAGAAGCAATGTAACCATTTTTTTTTCCTTGGGCTTCTGTATAGCTCTTTTCTGTTCATTTTCATATTTAATGTTTTATATACATAGAAAAATAGGATTAGAGCTGGCAAGTGTGATCTGTTGTTACTGAAATGATTCATGAAAACTGAACACACAAAGGACTAATTGATAAACTAAAGTGCTAAATTTTTTAATTTGCAAAGGGAAATTTAGTTTAATAGCTTGTATATTCTCCTTGTTCAGTAATTTTATTCTTCCCCAAGTAATTTTATTCTACCTGAGAAATCAAAAATTAATAAATATATCTATACTAATAAAAGGGTAATATACTAATTAGACCGGGAGACCTTCTGGACTTCATTCTGGACAAAGCCATGGTGGCAGGGCCAAGGTAGTTAGGGGCAATTATGCTGGCAGGGGAGGGCAGTTGGAGGCAAGCAGGCTGGTAGGGGCGAGCAGTTGGAGGCAAGCAGGCCGGCAGGGGGGGCCAGTTGGGGTTGAGCAGTCCAGT